GACAAAATAATCTGTTTTTCCAACGGTGTAAAACCAGAGCCAGGAAAAAGAAGCACATTTGTAATAGCACAAATTTCCAAGAATCCCACTCCTGCCTTCGGCATCGTGTTTTTTGGGAACCAGGGGGACATTTTTTGACCCAGCAGCAGTGGGTTTATGGCATTTTTGCTCCCTTTCCTCGCTGCCTGATCCTTCAGCAGTTGGTTTTGGCACTTTGCACACGGGATTGATTTTTCAATAACTTGTAGTCCTTCCACGCCAGTGAATTAGCGACAGAAGCTTTCAAAATCCGAAAGCCCAGTGCATCCATTTCTGCTGGAATCACATTAATTCCTTCAGGTTTGGCCAGTGTGTAGATTTTGGGTGTGACTGAGGAATATCCCACGATGCACCCGTGGTCAGGAATGAGAGACTCCCAGTAAATATATTGTTGGGGCTACAGGGCTTTGAGGTGGGGGAGAGAAGAGTCCCAGCACCCAAAAATTCCACTGATATTCCTGAGAATTTCAAACCTAAAGGGAAGTGAGGGGTGTGGGGCCAAGGGCTGGGACACACCTGAGTCTCTCCTCGTGCAGAGAGGGAGAGTCAGCCAGGCCCTAAATCACACCAAATGCAAATTTTGGGTGAGTAGAGGGGGGGGGAGAAGGATGGGAACAGTCATTCCAACTGCAAACTCTGCACCTTGGGCTTCTCAGACCCCGGAAAAATCTCCGTTTCTCAGCCAGACTGGGTCCCAGTGGGAGCTGGACAGCGCTGCCTCCAGCCTCACCGGGAGCCAGTCCAGAGTCTGGTGAAGACACTGCTGCCTTTACTGGGAAAAGACTTCCCCAAGCTGGTGTTTTCTGCTGGTTTGCCCTTTGTTTCCCCCATAGATCCTGTGTGTGTAGCACCCGACAAGGCATGTGGGTCCAATATACTATGCAATGTGTACAGTGGTGCATGCTCTGCTCTCCCTCTGCTTTTAGTGGCTTTCAAAGAAAAACTCCAAAAAAAAAAAAATTATATAAAAATAAATAAAATAAAACTAAAGTGGTGTTATTTTTGTGACCAGGATCATGCAGACTTGCATGCCCATAGTATCCTCATTTCTATGGATTCGTTTTCTGGAATTTAGATGTACAAAGACGAACTGCATTACAGTTAACTTTTCTACAATAAATGAGCCAAAAGTACAAACCGTTGGAAAGTCTCTCCGGTCTCTTTGTGTCCTGCACTGAGGTGGGAAAAATGCTGGGAAGAGCTCCGAGGAGCCCGAAATCCTGTGGCATTTCTGTTGTTTGCCAGCAGCTTTTGGCAGGGTTGCATTTTTAGTGGGATTTTCACGACACCCCGAAGAAGGGGCCGCATCTGCTCCGAGAAATAAATGATGTTTATTTTTGTAACGATCTGCTCTTAAATAGCTGCTGCTCAGGAGCACAGAAATCCAGATGATTCCTCGCTGCTCCAGCAGGGAGTGGAATCCTTGCAGCCAACTGCTCCGGTGGAGGATCCTTGGGAATGTTCTGGGTTTGGAGCTGGGCCTCGGTGTCATCTCACAGTAGAATCGGTTCCGAGAGAGAAGGACAAGTGACAGAACGATGGCAGGTGTCAAGGATTGGACCTTTAAAAGATAACTGAGTTTATCACAGAATGATTAAGGTTGGAAAAGGCCTCCAAGCCCTCCCTGTGCCCACCTTGTCACCAGCCCAGAGCACTGAGTGCCACATCAAGGCCTTGATGGTGTCCTGGAAAACTGGAAGCACTGGGAGATGCTGCCTCTTCCCAAAGAGTGACCGGCAGGAACCAGCAACTTCCCAGAGATATTGTGATGGCCAAAAAAACAGCCTTGGAAGGACAGGAGGACGTGGACCAGGTAAGCTGCTTTTACATTGGCAGTTTGACACCCCTGATGCTTTCAGAATTCTGTTTAATTGGATTTTCTGGTCTGTGTGTGTTCAGAGTCAGATCTCAGCGTATGGGTTTTCATCTGAGCTGTTGATAAAAAGCAGAACATCCTCCAAATAAATATAGCTGAGCAAGAAATGCCTTTTTTGTGTGTTTTCATGTGGTCCTGGAGGTTAAAATTTGTTTTGTCTGTGTTCTGAGGAAGGGTCTGGAGCAGCAGGAGGGGCTGAGGGAGCTGGGGGGGCTCAGCCTGGAGAAAAGGAGGCTCAGGGGGGACCTTCTGGCTCTGCAACCCCCTGACAGGAGGGGGGAGCCGGGGGGGGTCGGGCTCTGCTGCCAGGGAACAAGGGACAGGAGGAGAGGGAACGGCCTCAGGCTGTGCCAGGGGAGGCGCAGGTTGGACATCAGGAGGAATTTCCTCCTGGAAAGGGTGGTGAGGCCTTGGCAGGGGCTGCCCAGGGCAGGGGTGGAGTCCCCACCCCTGGAGGGATTTCAAAGCCCTGTGGATGTGGCACTTGGGGACAGGGGTCAGTGGTGGCCTGGGCAGTGCTGGGGGATGGTTGGATTTGATCTTGGAGGGCTTTTCCAACCCAAAGCATTCCATGATTCCCTACGTGTTTCCCTGTACAGGAGTATTTCCCCTTCCATGGGCACACAAAGCACTTCCCCGGCACAGAAAGGCTCCATGACCCACTGTCAGTGTTAGAGCTGCTGGGAACAGAATGTACATGACCTGAAAAAGCCTTCCCAGATTTCCAGGAGGGAATTCTGAGGCTGTCTTGGAGAGCTTTCCTAGAAAGCTTCCAGCAGCATTGGGAAAGCCAACTTACTCCATAAAAAGGCAGCAGTATGGTCCAGGTTAAACCAGGCTGCCACACAAAAAAACCCCAAAACAAACAATGTGGGGGGAAATCTCAGTGATTTGCTATTTAAATAATCAGAGTAATTGCTTTAATTGAGTTTTGGTGCCTCTCACACTGCACAGCCCCCCAACCCTGCCACAGGCCCAAGGCTTCCAGGCTCGCTCCGTGTTCCAGGAGAGCTGAGAACAGACAGGAACCTCGAGCATCTGAAATTCCAAGCTGAGGAAGGGCAGCAAGGGGGATAATTGCGGCCTAATGAATAATTAATTCCATTGCAGGCTGGATGGTGAACCTGTGGAACGTGTATCATCACACTGGAGGAGCTGCTCCATTTCCCTGCCGGTCACACACGGTCCCAGCTCTGGGATGGGGATGGATTGGGACAGTTTATATTTATTTCCTTCAACTGTTAAGGGCCAAAATTTCCTCTCCAGAGCAGCAGGAAACACGAATCCCTGTGGGCACGGACAGAAACTCGATGACTCTGCCCTTACTTGGCTCTGGTTACGGGCCAATATTGCAGCAGGGAAATAAAACAGCAGGGAGCTGCTGTGGGAATAAAAGCTGCTGGAAGGGAAGAGGGAAAAACCTCTGGAATAACAAAAGGAGAGTATTGTGCCCCTGGATCCCTGGAAGTGTCCAAGGTTGGGTTGGATGGGGCTTGGAGCAACCTGGGCTGGTGGAAGGTGTCTCTGCCCATGGTCCTTTCCCACCCAAACCAGCCTGGGATTCCATATGGGAAGGGGGCAGGCAGCGCATGGAAAGGTGGAAGCAGCACAGCAGGCAGAAAGGAGGGAAGGTGGAAATGAGAAGTTGTGCCAGGCTACAAAGGAGTAGGGAAAAACAGATGCAGCAGTGAGAGCTGGTGTGGCCTGGAAAAGGGACTGAAGGACTTCTAGGACAGGGAGACTTCATCCAAGAATACATCCCATGCCAGGAGGGGTAGAGCTCAGCTCCAACCTGGCTCTGCTGCCCCCCGGCCAAGCTTTCACCAAAAGGAACTTGATGGGATTCTGTGCTGATAAAGCAAAGCTTTTAACCTCTGAACATGATCTTAAACTTAAACCCCAGCCTTTCCACAGCCCTTCTCTCCTCACAGTGTCTCTCCCACAGCTCCATTTCCTTGTGCAGGGAAGTGCAGGGGTGGGTTTTCCTTCCCAAGCCCTCCCGTGGTGTTGAAATGAAGGTATGTCCAACACTTGTGCAACGCACCTGTGTCTCCCTAGAGAAAATGAACTTGAGAGTTACAAATCCCAGTGCTGAGATTCCCATCCACTCCCAGTGTCATTGGAAGACTAAACCTGATTAACCCATGTAAAATAAAGGATTTGCCCCATTCAGGTGGCACTGGGCACCAGCCACACCAGGAGCTTTGCAGGTAAGGAAAGGGAAACACTGCAGTGTTTTTCTGTGAAATAAAGCCACGTTTTGCTCAGGGAAAGGACAAAGGAGGGCAAGGATCCCACGTCTTGTCTCTAGGTTGCCAGAGAGAGCTCTGCACAACCTGTTTACTATCAGGGGGCTTCAAACCCCCGAGGATTTCAACTCTGTGGTGGGTTTGGACAAGGAAGTTTGTTTTCTGGGGGTTTAAAATCCCTGAGGATTTAAACTCGGTGGTAGGTTCGGACAGCGAAATTTGTCTTGGAGGAGAGAGGGCTCCAGGGGGACCTCAGAGCCCCTTCCAGTGCATAAAGTGCCTTTCTGCAAACTCACTCAGCTGCTAGGGAGCAACTTCTCCACATTATCCCCAAGTTTCCCGCAGAGCACCGTGTTCTAGTAGGGATTATATGGCAAAGTGCACGTTATTTTCTTCATAAACTGGAGCCAGGCTGGGAGAGCTGGGGGGG